CCCCAGCCGGGGGGACGGGGCCCAGCTTGGCTGTGCCCGGGGCGGGGGTGGACGTTACCTCCGCGGAGAGGGGGGGGCATTCCCCGCTGCTCCCGGGGGGGCATCCCACCCCGCAGGCTGTTCATCAGGCCCTTCTTCCGTGCCAGGGTGACCTTGAGCTTGTTCCCCTGGAAATCCTTCCCTGGGAGGAAGACAAGGGTGAGAACACCACCGTTGCGTGTTGCCAGCACTCAGCAGATCCCGGTTTACGGCACACACAACGGCACCCGGGGGGGGGCATTCCCCGCTGCTCCCGGGGGGGCATCCCACCCCGCAGGCTGTTCATCAGGCCCTTCTTCCGTGCCAGGGTGACCTTGAGCTTGTTCCCCTGGAAATCCTTCCCTGGGAGGAAGACAAGGGTGAGAACACCACCGTTGCGTGTTGCCAGCACTCAGCAGATCCCGGTTTACGGCACACACAACGGCACCCGGGTGTTAAATCCCAGGGAAAAAACCTTCCCCGAGTGTCTGAGGGAAAATTCCACCCCTGGGGCTGAGATAAACTCTCACTACAGGAGACAGTGGGTGGCACAGAGCTGGGCAAGGAGGTCAACCCCAACCCAAGCCCCACGCTTCTCCCTTCCAGGAACTCGTTAGGCAGAAGCGTGACCACCTCAAGCTCACCTTCAACAACTGCGACGCTCCGCACCCCCGGGATGGGAACGCTGACTTTTATCAGACAAGAATTGAGTTCAGAAATCAAGAACCAGGTGATTCCACGCCAAAACCACACCCAACCCACTCACCATCAAACCACTCCACAGCTGTCTTGGCGGTGGACGGGTCATCGTAAGATATGGTGGCATCTCCTTTCGGTTTGCCGGTTTCTTTGTCGATGTAGAGGTTTATCATGGGCTGCCCTGTCCTCTTGTTCATCTGGCAGGACAAGAAAACGTCTTGTCCTCAAGTCACATCTCCCCATCAGATGAGCAGGGATTTACCCTCCTCTGTTCTGCTTTTGACTTGAGACAACCAAGATGTGTTTTGGTGACTCCGTGGAAGAAGAAAAGGCCCCTGGAGCTTGGCACGGGGAGCAGCTACTGCCCAGACAACCCACCAGAGGAAGGACGGGCACAGAGCGGCGCTGCCTGGGCTGAGAGGGCTCTTCTGGGAGCTCTGGGCAGCACGAGAACTGAGCTGCAGCCTCCCCACATCCTCCTCTGCTCTCCCCACCACCTCGACCTCACACGCTGTCACATGTCCCACCAGCAGCAGATCCACGGAGGCAACGCTTCCTCCTCGGCTGCCAGCACTGCTGCCCCCACAAGCCCAATCACATTGCTGAGGGACAAACCCTGCAAAGGTTCTTTGGGAAAGTCTGAGCTCCAGGTGAAGACCAGGCTGTGCTCATCCTGCTGCCCCACCAGCCAGAGACCTCCTAGCTCCTGGGAACCAAGGGCTGAGGGGAGACCTAGAGGC